TTCGAAACTCGCTGAACTTCTATTCCGTAAGAGAATTTAAATCCGAATTCGATTTGAAATCTTGTTTCACACATAACTAAATTTACCTTAAAACTTTCCATATCGGATAAAAGTGATCGACTTTGCATTTTTGCACGTAATAATGTAGCATCTTCACCAAAACCTAAATTAGTTAATACAGTTGTTTGTTCATCAAGCATATCTTCTGTTGCTGGTGGACATTCCTTAAAATTTCAATAATATATATCATATAGAAAGATACAGCTTATATATATTCTTTTTTTCTATATGTGAAATACCTGAGTAATAGGTACATAGAGAATTTCATTTGTATGAAGTAATTTTAAATCACCATATGGTTTAAGACGACCGTCAGGCTGTAATTCTGTTTGATTTGATTTTGATGGTGAAATATTTGATGAACATTCATAAAATTGATCATCATCATCATTATTATCTTGTTCCATTGGATTATTATCAATATTTATTGTATCATTTTCATGACGTAAACGATGTTCAATACAACAATTAAGCATTTGTAAATTTTGATAAAATTTTGAAAATGATAAATTTGGTGAACCAGATTCTAATCTAAAGTTGTTTTTTTTTAAATAATAAAATTATAAGATCAAACATATTTCAAAATATTTAGTTTTATTTACCCAGGAATTAATTTTCCTGTTTCCCAATATGTACGAAGTTCTTGAACAATATCAAACCATAAATGAGCGATCGAACGTAAATGATTAATAGATGGTAAACTACAGATTGCAGTAAAACATACAACAAGACGATAGACAAAACTATCTTTAGGTACTGATTTTAATTGACGTATTCGTTCAGTATCCTGAAACAAACGAGATTGATAAAGAAATTAATGTCGGAAAAAAGAAAATTTTTGTTTTACATTCGGTAATTCATCAACAATTGATTGTCGTCTTTCGAATATTGGACGTTCATTGAAAAGATACTTAAAATAAAATGATATTCTATTATAAAATAAATTAATGTTTTTTGAAACAATTTACATCTGTAGTTTTTTCAACAATATTTGGTGGTAATGGTGGATTAAAAATATTAACACGTAATCGTTTTGTTGTATTCGAAATAGAAGATGAAATTGATGTCCAATATTGTTGTGTACGACTATCAGATATTCTTTTTATTGGATCAGCCATATTCATTGAATTATTTGATGTTTCTATAAACGAAAAAAAACGAAATATAAATTTCAAATTTTACAAAATAAAATAAAATAAATATCAGATATTGAGCATAGCACTTGTTTTCTATCCATTTCTGGATTTTTCATCCTACGTAATTTATTTGACTGTTGTCGATATCCTGAAAATTATTAAAATATTTCTCTCCTCAACATATATCCTTATTTTTCAATAGGTTCAAAATATCATCTAAATTACCATCAACATTTTGAATTTTTCCTAGTAATTGTTCAACTGTTTCTCTTTTTGTCGATAAATTTAGATATTTTTGAACAGCATCACTCAATAATACAGGTAAATCTTCTAATAAAGTAACACCAATAGCCCATTGTTGAGAACGTATTGGATCAAAATCATTACAATCATCATTTTCAGTGACACCTTCTTCAGAAAATATTGGCCATGTACATGACAGATGAAGACCACTAGATAATAATAATAATGATTTAAAGAAAATATTTTTTTTTTGTTTTTTTTACCTAACCGGATCATAAAGTGATCCAAATGGAAGATTGGTTAATATTGGCATGCCTGTTTCATCTTGAGGTAAAACTTGTCGACTTGATGTTGATTCAAATTCTCTTAATACATAAGTAAATCGAACAGCAACCATAATAACAATATCATTTGAAATTTGTGAACCCTAACAATAATTAAATAGATTAAAAACAAACGACAGAAAAAAAATTATTTTTTCTTTTTACTAATTTTGATTTAAATATTTCTAATAAACCAGCTAAATGTCGATATTGATGAGGAGCACTTTTTAAATAACATATATTAAAATGTGTTCGAAGACCTGATCCTTCACAAAGACCAATAAAGATATTACGCCATTCATGTTGAACACGAATAAATATTGGTACATTACTAGAAAAATAGAAAATATTGATTCATTTCAATATAAAAATTTCTTCAATTTTTACCATCCAACATTTGAAACAGCAATAGCAGTTGAACTTAGTAAAAGATTAGCTCGACTTTCATCTATTATAGGATCAGTATTACGTTTTGGTGATAGAATTAAAAATTCTCGAAGACCAAACCAATGAGATAAAAAACTAAAAATAAATATTTTTATTTAACAAAATTATCTAGTTTTCATAAATTTTCAGAAGTTCTGAAATGAAACTTTTGTATGTTCATATTTCAGCAAGATTAAACTCATTAATGATGAAGTTTGCTTTAAATGGAAAATACTCATTAAACTTAAACATGCAGAAAATATTAAACAAAATTAAATTTTATTATTAAAATTTCATTTGCATAACTCGACATAAATTATATAACTCAATAGAAAAAATCAATACTCTATTCAGCTGTATATTAATAAGAAAAAAAAACAGCTTACATATTAACACGACCACAATGTCTGCACAAAATCACTATATTTATAGAAAAAAGACAAAAAGTGAACCTTATGGAAAATATATAGTTCAGCAAAGAAACAAACGGTTTATTATTCTATCAAAAAAATAAAAAGTTTCAATAACCTAGTAAACAGTAGTCATTGAAAAACTAACCTACTTAAAAAATGTTTGAAAGAAATTATCTTTTTTCGAAATTAATCAAAATCTTTGAACACAATGCATAGGCAACAATATAAAACATATATGTTTCAATCAAGTAATTAATGCTCTATTCAACGATATCAAATAATAACGGAATCAAGCTGTATATATTTTTTTTTGTTCTCTATTTTACAAAATTTTAATAGTATTACACATAGATTCGCAGATGCTACACAATGGCTTTTTTTTGTCAGTTAGATATTACAAGAAATAGTGATTGATCATTGTGAAACTCGCTATGGTTCAAGAACTCATGAAGAAACTTCATTGTAACCCTTGCCGGACGGGAGTAGAGTCTGTCGAGTCCAAAATTTTCGGACTCGGGCATGACTAGAGCCGGGATCAACTCGATGGACTCTAGACGGGAGATGTATATAGGCATTTTCTATCCCGGAACAGTTCAAATCTATTGATGCGTACTATTTATCATTGAAAAATTTATATGATACAGCTTCGTTTGACAATAAACTCTAATATTTTCTGAAGTTGAATGAGAAAACTTACGGAGAGTGAGATGGAAAATCATTTCGTCTTGACATCATGTCAGCCATTGCTCGTGGTGGAATGACTAAATACTATTAATTAAACAAAGAATCTGGAAGTATATTATTCTTACATGTTTGTTTTTCGAATGTTGAAGATGTTGTCATTTGTGGATTATTTTCTGTTGGTAATGATGATGAAGTAGTTTCAGGTATTTGTAATGAAAAATGAATGATCGTGTAAGAACGATCACCAAATTCAAGTGATTCATTACGTTCAATCCATTCACCATCAGCAAAATCGATCTAATAATTTTTGATTAAAAAAGAAATATTTTATTATAAAAGAACTGGAGCTAACTTCAGTATTTGATGTTTCAGGACCATTTAATTTCCATTCTGAAAGAATTTCTTCTATTCTTGCAATAAATCTATGAAGTTTACAAAATTCTTTTTATTAGAATTCAAGTTTTATCATTTTTTTGTTTACCGTTCCCAATCAGATGCAGTTGTATAATCAACTATTTCAAATATATCTTCCTCCTAGAATATTTAAATTTATGAAATAAAAATATAAAAATTTTTCTCTTACTTCTTTAACAGTTGTCATTTTATAAACTTATGTTTAAAAACCACCAATATACCACTAGACAAATCAAATCAAATATAAAATGACTATAAGAAATATTTTCTATGTTTTTGTCGTAATTATATATGGGAATAAATTCAATTACATTGACTGACTTTCAATATATCTAAAATTATCATATATGAATAATTTATTTGTAATCATCAAACAGAAAAAAAAAGAATAATATTTTTATTTCTAAAAGTAATCTGTTTATATATCTATCTTTATAATTATTCAAACAATTTTTTCCCTTAGAAGTAAATCCCTATGGAGCCAAACTTTTTGACTCCGAAACTCAGCCTTAACTCCGGAAAAACAATTGTTTTGTTGACTAGTATATATACTTCTTTTTGTACTATTTGTTAATGAAAATATCTCTCTGATAAGTTTTGTTTTTCTTGAAACTTATTAATTAATCTAAAAAGTAGTGCATTTTTGTTCATTTCTTAACATATGATGAGTAAACTTGTTAGTATGTAAGAGTAAAAGTACTTCACTATTTTACTAATGTTAATCCAATATTGATTTCGAAAAAAAAATTCTTCACGATCACTTTGACTCTGAAAGGCTTTTTTTCAAGAGCTCGATGGAATTGAAGTCGAATTCTGGCGCAGGAGTCTATTCAGTGAATAATTTTTCATACATTACAAAATCTTCTCTAATGATAGACATTATAGTCCATCATTTTAATTTAATGTTCGATATTCGACTTAATAGACTAAGAATACTATTCTAAAAATAAATACAAATGTCTTTTATATATAATTCTATTAAGATAAATAGTTCATTATGAAATAAAATTGTAAAAAAAATTTCTTTTTAATTTATTATCCAAAAAAAAATTACAAAAGATAATAATAATAATAATAATAATATCAATTACTGAATTACAAAAGAACAATATACACACACACACACATATATAAGAATGAAAAAATTCTGTCATATTGCACACAAGAAAACTATTTGTTATTTTCGTTTAATTTGTTTTATTGAAAAAGACTAGGTAATATGGAAATAAATGGAATTTAAACATTTCTCGGTATCTGAACAGATGCATTAGTACGTCATAAATTTCAATAAAATAAATTCTTCAATTAACATGCATACGTTTAAGTTCAACTGCTTTTTCTAAAATTTTATGTACATCCGTATCAGGTGGATAACTCTAAAAAATAAATCTTCAATGAACAACAAAAAAAAACAAATACTTTTTATTTATTATAAACAAACTTGTAGTAATTTAATATTATGTGCTTGTGTTTCATTTAGAAGTTGATCTCGTTGTAGACTAAAAGATAAAAAAACCTAAATATTGTTTTTTCAAAAAAAAAATTTTCTATACATACATAACCATAGCACAACAAATATAAAATAAAAATTGAAAATTTTGTTCTTGATCAGCAAATAATGAATCCCATATACGTAAAACATCTGGTAAATTGAATTCTTGTGAAAGTAATAATGTTAACCAACGAAATGCATAAAATTCAGGTTTTAAATGTTGTTCTTCAAATAAATCATATATATCTTTAGCTGTTTGTTTTAATAACATTGTATATTTTTGCATACGTACACGAATACCAAATTCAGAATTATCATAAACTTTCATAAAATTTTCTCGTATATGTATCATTAAATTTGTAAAACAATAAAATGTATCTGCTTCGGCATATTCTAAAAAAATTGATTTACTTGAAGTTTTTTTATTTATTATTATTTCGAAAACATACGATTAGTGAATTTTACAATACAAATAACATCGAGAAAAGCTTCCGACTTATTATGAATTGATTAAATAAGATAAACAGTAGTCGCAAGAAGTACAGAAACCTCAATCCTTTCGCATGATATTTTGACTAGAAATAGAGCTTGGTAAACGTTGATTGCAAGCAGCAACTCGAATTTGATAGGACTGAATGCAAAAGATTTATAGTGATTTTCCACTATTTAAATACGTTAACCTTCATGTTGTTATCAACAAATAGAAGTTCGCATGTCTATATTGTGTCATAGATAGGATACTCGAATGTGATGTGAACTTGGGGCGCGAGAAAGCCTTCATTTTTTGAGACAGTCTCAGCATGGATCTCTTCTCTATCAATTTTCAAGAAAAACTTAATTAGAGCAAGGCAATTATTGAACAAAATTCCAAGGCACATGGTTAAAATTAACCGAAGATGTTGGTCGGTTTTCGACTATACCCCTCAACTCTCATGTTGAGATTACTTCATAAATCAGGCATAGTACAATCGTTTGATACAAGATTTATTTTCTATTTTAACCTTCTAGTTTCTCCGTATGAAGGCTGATCAAGTCCTTCTAATCAGAGTTCAACATGCTCTATTTGTGATCAAACTATAAGACTAAAGGATTAAATTTCAGGTACTTTTTGCGACTATTATACAATCAGATGATCACATATATTGAATTATGCATACCATCAAGAGAAAACGGTTTGTTCTGCTGACAATCTTCATGTTTTACTCTTTTTCAAAAAATTTTTGCAATAAAACTAAACATACAGAATGGATTTAACATTCTTCTAAAAAATGAGAAGTGTCTTGACTCAGGAAGCTGACTTATTATAAAAATAGAACTATTTTATAAACAGTCAATTTTAGGGCTATTTGAAAGAATTAAGACGACTGAATGAATAGTCAAATCTTTATTAATTAAAGAGAAGTAATGAAAATGGTAATGCATTCATGATACTCGATCGTCTTTACACTTTTTTTTTCGATTATTTAGAAAATAGCTGTAATAGAGATCGTTAATCAAACAAATCGAAAAATAAATCAATGATCCATAATTTGAAATTAAATGAAACCTACGATATTTTTTTTTCGAATTCTTTTTTAGTTATCTCTAAATATTCATCAAAGTAATAGCTTTAACTGTCGGATATTATTCGATTGTATATTTTGATTATTAATATTTTCTCTACGAAAGTAACAAGAACGTGACCATGTTACAGCTTAGTTCAATATAACTTTTTATAAAAAAAGTATCCACTTGACAAAACGATAATTTTTTGTACCGAATTTATAGGTATTCTCTTTTCGAGATATTAAACCCACGAAGAAAAAAAATCATGCAACTCCATCAAAAAGGATAGTGCACATTGGAAAAAATCCTTCTAGTTTCAAACAAGTCTTACCTCTCCATTCTATATTTGGATCTGTAGCAAATGTATAATAAATAGGTCCAATAATTTCATTCATTCCTTGTACATAACTTTGTCCAGAATTAAGTTTTGAAAAAACAAATAAAATTCTTTCAACAACTTCCCAATGTGCTTCACATCCATCAGCTAATATTTCATATTCACCATCATCAGATGTGAAATTTGATGAATTATTTTTTTTTTGAGATAAAGTTTTATTTGATAGAAATTCTAATCGACCAGTTAAACGTGATTGAGTTTGTGATTCAACTTTAAGTGATGTTGATGCAATACGTTTACGTAAACTTTCAAAACCTGTTTCTTGTTTCATTATTTCAGCACATGGATAATCAGTTTTACGTTGAAAAAAACATAAATCAGGACAAAGTCGTCTAATTTCAAAAAATAGTAAAAAAATAAACTTTCAATTTTTAAAATCTTACCGAACATCTTTATCAATTTGAAGTAAAACTTCATTTTCTTTAAAATAAGCTGTCCATGAACTCTCTGGTGCAGAACTTAATGGCTAAATATATTGAAATAAATATTCGTAAACATAATTGCTTTTTTTTTTTGTTAAATAACTAACATGATCAACAATATCCGAATGAGATGTTGGTGTAAGACCAGGTTTTATAATAGTGTCACGAATATAACCACGATATAATTCACTACAAAATTTATTTCTTCAATAAATTAGTTTTTTTTTTAGTTTTTGATGTTTTACCGTTGTTTAGCTAAATGTGTTTCCCATTTTGTTCGATCAAGTAAAAGATAATTAAGTAGAATCTATAAAAATATTTAAATCAAATTAAATTTTTTATTTTTTGTTTACCTTCCATGTTAAACTACGTATACCATTCTCAGCTGGACAACCTAGAAGAGAAAATAATCTATTTAAAATGAATATTTTAGATTTAAAAATTTACCATTAAATGCAAGAGTTTTGAGTTTATTTAAATCAATTATGTCACATTTAAGTAATGTTTCAAAGTTTTCAATTCTGTTTAAATACAAATAAAAAAGATCAATTTTTCTTTATAAAAAATAGGGTTTTTTTTGTCTATTACGTTTTTTGATAAAGTGCCATTTGTATTATTTAGTTCTATCTGAAAATAAAATTTTTACATACACGTGAGATGATGATATATAGATAGATCGAAAGTATGATTTGATTTGTCAGACGATAAAATCAATTATAAAATTGAAAAGATGTCGTCAGTGTTACTTGACTATATATGAATGAAAATCAAAAATTTAGTTTTTTTTTTGTTCAGTTTTTCTGTTTAAATTATCAATTGAAGAAGGTTCTTTTTAAGGAAAATTTGATATTCCAAAGGTCATTTATATCAATGACGAAGCCAGGAGAATACCTCAGTCCACCAAATGTAATGTTCCTACATTGTAAGAGAATCGTTTTCTGGTTCCGTCACTAATTGATTCCTATCTGTTTGTGATAGCTGCATTTAGAGAGATATGATGTAAAGAATAATGACTTTCTTTTAATTATGAATTGTTGTTTAATGATTATTTAATTGAATCAGAATTGTATAGGAGAAGATGATCTTGAATTGAGAGATTAAAAAAAAGTTTATAAAGCTAAAATGGATGCAGTTTAACACTTTTGTCAATCATTATTCTTTTTCTTTAGGATTAAATCTATTTAATAGTTTCAATAAGAATTAAATAGAGTCCTGCGGGGCAATATAGAAAAAGCTAATGCTCCGAATGTTTTTTTTTTAAATTCTGATATCAATACGTGTCGAACACTTTAATTTTTTTTTAATTTCTAACAAATATCTTAATATTTAAATAAATAACAGAAAAAAGAACTAGACTGTCACTCGAGCACAGTCCCGACGAGAAAAGACAGTATACAACATCTGCTATTTTTAAATCTTAGATTTTTGTAGAGGAAATTGTAATGAATTTTAGTCGCGTTCGACTATATTGATTCAGCTGACAAATTAAGAGATGATGAATCTAAACTAACTATTGCATTTAGCATCTGAGATATCAATGATCTTTTTGAGATTAAATCATGTATAACTATATAAGGAACTTCTCAGTTGTTCATTATCATTTTTTGCATTTTTATAGTCCCCGAATGGAAAAAGTTTTTGAAAAACCAGATTTCAGATGTGCAATTGTCACATTCTCACGATCTCGGCAAACCTTTTCTCATTTCAAAATTATGACTAGGTGTAAAGAACGAGTGGATGATTTGAGTCATGACAATGCATCGAGAAGAAGAAGAAGAATTTGCCATGGCAACTAAACAAAGCGATAAGTCATCTACCACACTTTGTACAGTCAGCCACCTTTCAGTCAACAGAATTCGGGACATGAAAAATTTTGTCCCACAGAGCTCTAAAATTAACCCTGTCACAGCGGACTTTTTTTTTAGTAGAAAATATATCTGTATTGAATACAAATCCAGTCTACAGGTGCTGTCGATTAGAGTTTTTCAACCTTTCTTAAGTCGACAGCATCCGATCGAACTTCGATGATTCGAACAAGAATAGGCAAGATTTCATGGTTCTTAGGTGAATTTTGACGAAATTCTAGGATTGAATTACTATTCTTGGGTTGCATAATCTACACAGTTTTTTTTTCAATTCATCAGTCATGAACTAAATTGAAATTAAGAGATCCCCAAAAGTTGAAGTAATCTCTTCAATTGCTAGAAGTTCGATCATTCAATGACTTCCACCTTTTATTTTGAAGCGTTTCACTATATGAATCAGTTTAGGTTTTTGAAAACTTTTTCAAGATGTCAGAAGTTTTTGTATTAAAAGTACATCGTTGCTGCAAAACTGTTATCATTATCAATTTCTCTTTCGTTATAATAAACAGACCTCTTTAGAAACTAATATCAAAATACACTTCAAGTACGATTTGATGTCTGCATTGAAGGAAAATTTTCACTGTCCCATAAATGGAACATCAGTCGTGAAATGGTTAAAAACAATTAAATCATGAAGATCTTGGAAATTTATCATGTAATCAAAAACAATAAAAGTATTATGATTTATTTACCTTATTGTAGATCGTCTTACCGATACGTATTTCGAAGATTGATATCTTAAAATATTTTCTTATTAAAAATATAATTAAAACCAGTTAAAATGTCCTTGTATTAGATAAATGTGTTGGTCTTGAATCTTCGAAAACAAAAGCACAGAAATAAATAGCAGAGAATCAGTTGTTCTTATCTCTACTACTCAAGATTAGACTATATCTATAAAGAAAAAACAGAGACAAAAGAATTGCTTTTGCTTTGTCTCTCTTCGGGACGCCCAACTTCACAAAAAAAGATAACAACATAATCTCTTTCTTCAATTAATATTTGACAAATAGTATGTCTTGATTCATAACTGCTGTTGATTCTCAATTACACTTTTAAAGATAATGCAATTTACAAATGTTGATATCAATATTTGATGTCTTGATGTTTAAATAAATAAATAAATTTATGACTATGCTAATAAAGAGTTCTTGACGAAATACTTTATAAAGCCATTGTATCAGGTATCTATGAAAGTCAAAAGGATAGTTGTTGCAGTTTCTTTCTTTTTTGTTCCAATTAACTGAATAATTTATTTCCTGTATTGGAATACTATATTAAAAATCGATGAATCCATAGGATAACGCATTCGAAAAATATTGTTGATGTGCTGTGATATATCCTTCGATCTATTATTAATGTGAAGCTAGTAGAGTTCTACGGGACAGTCTTGAATCACGTTTGTTTCATCTTGCAGGACCCTAGAGTATATTGTTGTTTATATGAAATGCTACATTAACCGATTACTTTTCATTAGGACTTTTCGCAACATGAATATTTATTATATTTGTTTTATAATTCTTTGGTTTAAAATTCAGATTGAATAATAGTTTGTTTACTCATTTTTGTGTGAAATGAATTTTTATTATTTGACCACTTGAATGTTTGTTAGAGAACACAATATTATATATTTCATATCGATGACAACAGATTTATACAAAAAAAGCTGTTAGTGCAATCTCTGCAAGATTAAAGTATAAAACACGATGTAGCTGCTGTTGCTAATCGCAGGAGGATTAGTTTATTCTATCTATTTTGGCAGACATTTCTTCACCATGCTTTTATTTAATCCTCCAGATATGCAATAAAGAAGTACTTCATATATTATAACAGGACATTATTGACATACGGTCTTTAATCGTATATCAACGTCTATCACGGTCTGTTGAGGGACAAATTTCTAACCTATGTACTTCAACACTCCTTTTAGATTGTGTTTCACAAAAGCAATATCTTTAATATCTATCAAACATTCTAATCACCCAGTCTATAAGTGTTGTGTTTTCTTTTTTTTGTCAATTTGCCATAACCCTTTATATTCTTAATATGATGTATAGGTTCCTTTGGCAAAGATTCATCATTAATAAGTTGTCTCGGTATCTATGACAACAGATACTTCTTTTTCTGACCATTTCATCTGATAGTCGTCATCCTTAACATCATCTCTAGCGAATGTTCAACTAAATCACTATTGGCAAACTACGACTATTATGTAAAAGTAAATAATCAAATAAGAAAAAAAAAAGAAGCGTAACATTGATGTTAAAAAACTCAAGACAGGGCAAGTGTCACGAATAAACAAAATGAGTCATTACTTCTATTAGTTAACAGCTGTCGCTTTTTGAAAATAGGGTTAATTGGTAGTAAGTCGTGGCTTCTATATAATCATAACCTTAATACATAATAGATATCTTTTACTGATTTGAGCAAAAATTTCGACATGAATTTAAGATTAAAGGGCTATTGTTATTCATATGATTACAAAAGAAAACTTCTAGTATATAAAAGCATCAATACTAATCTTTTAAATAATAATAAAATATATTCAAAGTTTTATATCATTTTTTTATTTATTTAATAATTAATTAAATATTTTTTTAAAATAATTTTGTATGCTCAGCAAATTATCCCATTGAGAAATTATAATTATTATTTATCATTATGTCAGTAGAAAACAAGAATACAACAATATATCTCAGTAGATAACAAAAAAAATGAGAAATAAATTAAACCAAGAACAACAGAAAACCGTGCAATTGAAGATAAATTTGCAGCACAGAAAATTAGGTTTTTAGATACGTATTAAATACGATGAGAATCGTGTTTTTTTTGTCAAAAATGTTGTTTTGTCTCTGAAAATAAATACTTTTTTTTAATCTATATATATATATATATATTTAAACCATCCAATGATTGTTGATCATGTATTTATGATTGTCTTCACGTTTGGTAAATAATCTGTCGATTAATTTTCGTATTTCACTGACAAGAAATACAGATGAAGTAAGACATACAAGGTAGAATAAATCTAAACAAAAAACACATGTATTTTTATAAGAAACACATTTTAATACTCTTATAACGAATGGACTATAAAAAATGAAGGTCTCAGTATTTTTTTAATATTATCTAGAGATGTTCATGACGGCGCTGCCGTGCAGGTGATGTTTCAAAAATACTATTACGACAGCGTCAGATCCTCTTTAGTTTCCATAGATTCGATTTTTTTTTCAAAAGATTTAACGAATATGTAGCATCAACAATTTTCAAGTACAAAACATTGTTCTCATGTTTAATCACTATCATTCTATTATTTATTTACCTGATATATTTAATGCTTCTGTTTGAAAAACATATTGTAATGGTGGTAAATAAATAACAGCCATTTGACCAACTATTGAGAGGAAGACAGCAATAAGAAAAACTCGATTAGAAAAAAAGCCTATTTCAAAAATAAATTTCGTCTAAAAAAAAAAAAGAAGTAAAATTCTTTTGTTTTTTAAAATTGAATGTTTTTTCAAACGAAATTATTTCATTACCTGTGATCGACAACTAAGTGCATTAAACATATCAAAAAAAACGAAACATGTAAATGTCATTGTTGTATCTCTTGGTGTTACTATTCCATCACGCATCTAAAATTATCCTATGTTGACTTTCAAAAATCTCATATTTAAAATATATACTTCAGCATAAAAAACACATAAAGTTCCAATAACAATAATAATTGCGCTTGTAATTATATTAATTAATAATCGTTTATCAATCATTGGATCAGTTACTTTTCTCGGTGGTTTTTTTAATACGTCATGATCAACTGGTTCAACACCAAGACTAAAATTAATTATATATGTATACGGTAACGTTCAATCTCAGATTTGCCTAGATCAATCTAGGAATCGACTAATTTATAATATTTCAATATGCTTAGTCTCCAATTCGAGATCGAATGCTAACATTTTTAAAGCTTTTTTTTTGTTTCTTTTATAAATAAACAACAAACCTTTGAGCGGGTGGTCCATCCATAATAATATTGATCCAAAGAATTTGCATAGCATTTAATGGATTTGGAAAATGAAAAACAGTTGAAAGTGTTATTAAACTTAAAGCAGCAATACTCCTGTACAAAATCAAAAAAAAACCAGAAATCTCCAATTAATTAAATAAATTCTTTTATCTAAAAGCTACATACGTGCTTAATTGAAATCGAACAAAATTTTTTATATTATGAAATATTGCTTTACCCTCTTCAATTGCTGCCCTATATAAAAACAAAAGAATTTCATAAACCTATTAATTTTAATCAAAATCTTACATTATTGTATAAAAATCATCTTTAACAAGAATCATATCTGCTGCTTCTTTACAAACATCAGTTCCCGTTTGTCCCATAGCTATACCAATATCAGCTGCTTTCAATGCAACTGCATCATTAACACCATCACCTGTCATACTAACAATATGTCCTTGTGCTTGTAAAGTCTTACGAAAAAAAATTAATTAATTAATTAATTTCAAATGTTTAATTTTTTAAAATTTACTTTAACAATAGTTAATTTATGTATTGGACTAACACGATAGAAAATTGTTGCTTTTGATATAGCATGATCAAGTTCAGATGCACTCATACGTTCAATATCTTCACCAGATACACTTAAATCAGTATTATTATAAATTTTTAAACGAGCAGCTAAATAATTCAAATATTGAAATTTAATTATGAAATAAATTTTAATTACCTATGGCTTTTGCAGTTTTTTCAGCATCACCTGTTATCATTTTAACAAGAACACCACCAGCTTTTAATTGTGATACAGCTTTTTCAACTTGTGGTCGTTCAGGATCAATGATTCCAACCATACCAACATATGTTAAATCATCAAATGATGTTCCAATAGCCATTGCAAGAACTATAAACAAAAAAAAAAATAAATTTTTTAATTAAGATTTTAAATTAGATAAATATATATGGACAAAATCATTCTTTAACAACATGATTTTGAAAAATTAAAATACGTGCATCTCAGAAATAATGAATTTTTCTAGAGTTAATTTTTGTATATGTTACATGTATGTTAAGTCATTCTGAAAAAAAAATCAGCACTAGAGACTTTTGTTCAGAGGAGTTATCAGTAAAAAAAAATCTAATGTTAAAAAAGATATCAACATTCACTTCATGCATTTTAGTTTAAAAAACACTCTAAATTGAGACAGCATTTTTAAAAACTAAACAGTATATTCTATAGACAATTTCTAAGGTTAAAAAATTTCTATCTAAAGTTTTTCTTGACCATGCCTAAATTTTTCAAAAATATCGATTTACTTTTCGTTAGCGACATAATGGAATACGAAAAAATGTTCCTATAACCGAATGAGAAGTTCAAAAGCAATTTCAAACAATACAAACCTCTTTTCGGAATCTCTAGATGATGTTATGACAAAAATTTCTTGTCCCACAGCTTGGCAGAATCTCTGAGTCTATTCTAAAGTTTTCGAATTCTTTTCTCACATGATTAGAGAGATGTTTGCCAATTACTTTTTTAATTAATAGTCAACTAAATAGTATCCGCTAGGTTTAAAATTTTTGAACTCGGTCTCGCTCAATGAAATTTTCTAATCGGATAGTCGTCCTACAAATACGAGATACTTTTTTCCGGCTTTTTGTATTCGGTGACTTGTGCACCTTACACATTTCTCCGACAAGTAGAGCCTATCAAGACCGGAATCAGGCCAATGGGCTCTACAAAAGAACTTATTCAAAAAAATAACTGTGGTAAAGAATAGAAGTTAAATGCAAGGTAGGTATGTTGCGCTTTGCTTAAAATGGCCTATATATTCATACCTCTTAATCCTTTAGCTGCCATTTGATTTGAATCAACAAGAAATCCTCGTATTTTGTCATCGGTTAATGGATTTGCTATTCCATGATATAAAAATTTTTTACATGTTTTTAATACTTGTTCAATAGCTCCTTTAAAATATAAACGTGTTTCATTCTATGATAAAGACAAAACAAAAAATTACAACGAAATAATTTGAAGAATGAAATTAATGCTAAAACATACTGGATTATATTTTGGTTTACATTCTACAGCCATCCATTTCGTTTCATGTGCAAATGGCCATTCATGTTCACGATGAAATTGTTCACGAAGATGAGAAAGATTTATCTATTAGAAGAAGACAAAAACACGAACAAGCAACTCTCATTCATTTGAAATAACAAAACACTTACTTTCAGAGCAACAGCAAGTAAAGCACCTTCAGTTGGTTGACCACGAAGTTGAAAATTAACAATTTCAGCATTATTACAAACAGCTCCAACCTTTATTAAAAATTATTTATAGAAATATTTATATAACAATTAGAAAGATTTTACTTCAATTATTTTTGATAGTGAAGGATGTGAATCATAAGTTATTCGTTCTGAACCACATAAAACATCACCTTCACCATTATAACCCGATCCGGTTACCTAATAATAAATAATATTTAAAATATAGAATTTTTTTGTGTAAATACAAACTTCAGCATGTTGTCCATCGGATGTTAAAATGCTCGTCACAGTCATTTCATTTTTTGTTAATGTTCCTGTTTTATCAGAACATACTACTGTTACACAACCTATAACATTAAAAAAAACGTAGATATAATTATTAAGAAATATATTATTATTATTATTATTATTTAATAAATATACTCAACCGAGTGTTTCAACAATAGGTAATTTTTTAACTATTGCTTCTCGTTTTGCCATACGTTGAACACCAAGTGCTAATGTTACGGTAACAACAATTGGTAAACCTTCAGGAATGGCTGCTACTGCCAAACTAAAATAATAATAATAATTAATTTTTTTAAATTATATGTTTTCTGTAGTGACTGAACATTTCATCGTAGGTATCAGTGAAGATCTTTTATGTAAGTCGAAATTGAGATAAATGCATGGAAAAATATCATAAACGACATGATTTTTTTTATTTGATGTTTTGTGTTTATTCGAACAAATTCTAGATGATTTTCTGCTTTTTTTTTAAAGAAAAATCAGAAATTCTTTTGCTCTATTTATGCTATTTTGATTGTGCAACCGAGAATTTTCGAAGGAGAACTTCGTTATAGTTAATTGATTTTCTTTTTATGTTAGAAAAAAAAGAAACATGTGAAGTTGCAGAACTCTTTTTTTTGAATTAAACTTTTTTTATTATTATATAAGAAAAAAAACACGTCTATAAATAGATTATAAATTTTTTGAAGAGTTTTTCAAGGTCTTGATATTACCATTCTTTTATTCTGCACAAAAAGCCACGATTAAAAAAGAAACACGAGCTCTGTCAAACATTGCAGTCTGAGATACTCTTTCAAACAAAAAAAAAACCTATAGAATGAGAGGCTACAGAAAAGAATTGAGCTGTTATTGAATTTTATCTGTTGAATATATCTCGAAAATTTCATGACATAGGACTGAAAATTCCATGCGATTTGAATGTACATGACTCTAGATTGGTTTTTTGAGAAGAATCTCGAACCTATCATATATGTGATAATTTCATATATTTTTCTCTTTGAAATTCGTTATAGGAAAAATCCGGAATATTTCTACAAAGGTTTCAGTCATTCGTATGAATCAATCAATCAATCTACGTTTATCCGAATTTTTGATAACTGCGACAAGCATCAATAATTTTATTCTTATGCTTTACAACTATAACAGATGTTATCACTTAATATAGACAAATAAATCTGAGATTTTTTTCTGTAAGTAAAAACTTTGAATATTACCTAACACCGATAGTAAACATTTCAAGAAGATGTCGTCCTTGTAACCATCCCACAACAACAATAAATCCAATAATACTTAATGAATAAAATGAAAGTTGTTTTCCAAGTGCATCCATACTTTTTTGTAATGGTGTTTTAGGTGCCTATATGGGAAAAAACAAAACTTTTTTTGTTGTAGATCAAAAAAAATTTATTTCTAATATTCTACTTCTTGTTCTTGCATCATTTGAAATACTTTACCAAATTCTGAATTTTCACCTGTACATATCACAATACCCTTATGAAAAAAAAAAGAAAAATTTTCAAATAAAAAATTATATGCGTTTTATAAATTTACTTTAGCATTTCCATTAAGTACATGTGTACCCATAAATGCTATATTTTTTCTATCACTAATTGATGTTTGTCTTGTACCAATTACAAGTGATTCAATTGTTTTAACTGATGGTTTTGTTTCACCTGTAAATGATGATTCATCAACTGATATATCATTTGCTTCTATTAAACGTAAATCAGCTGGTACACGATCACCAATATCTAATATACATAAATCTCCTGGTACTAAATCTCTTGCATATATTTGTTGACTTTTTCCTTCACGTATACATATACATTTTGGTGGTACAAGTTTTTTTAATGCTTCTATTTCTTTTTCAGCACGATTTTCTTGTATAAATGCAACTGTAACAACAATAATAATAGCTATTGTTATTGATAATGCATCATCATATTGTTTTAATAATAATGATATAAATGCTGATGCAAGTAATAATAATATCATTGGTTCTTTAAATTGTCCTAAATATTTTTTCCATATTGGTTCATCATCATCAACTTCAAAATCATTGTGACCATACAATTTACGTCGTATAGATATTTCATTTTCATTTAAACCTAATTTACCATCAGTATGTAAAATTTCTATTATTTCTTGTGTTGTTACACGAGAAGCAGCGTCAGAATTAATAAATGTCATAGTACCATTTAATCCCGATAAATCATTTTGTTTATGATTTGTTATTATTATTGAAGATTCTTGATGGTCGAGTGGACTAGAAATACTCGACGATGAATCAGAATCAATTAATTTTAATGAGTCCAGTTGGTTGATTTTTTTATTTACAAAACTAAAAATTTAATATCAATGCGGTTACTTTTTCGTTTGATCTTTTTAAATAATGTTCGAAAATTATCGCCGATGAAAAATTATAGCATCTAAAAAAAGAAAAGAAAAATAAATTCAAAAGCTGTTTTGTTTGTGTATGTGTGACAGATGTGAGACGTTATAGATTTTTTTTACTAAATCAATAGAATATAATAATGATTAAACGAACGTGCTTTGCATAACAGCACGTTTTTAGTTACGTACTTGAAAACATTTATTGATTTTGTTTTACTGCATGAGTTTATTCTTCAATAGTTGCTAATGTTCAAGATATAGATGTAGTTAAAGATGACAATGAGATTTTTTTTTCTCTCTTTGGCTTTTAACTATGTGAATAGAACGCATGACAATAATATAGTAGTCTGACTAAATCAAACACACTTGCTTTCATACTTTCTTGCCACCTAAAAAAAAGAAAACATACAAAATACATCAGACACAGAACATTGACATAAGAAAAGTAAGACGTCGAAAATAAAATCGTAAATGATGATTTAAAATCTGTAAAGAAAGAAAAAAAAAGAAAAAGTCATTTTATTCCTTAAGCTCTTGAATAAACTTTAAGTAATCGCCAATTGTCTTTTTTTTTTTTATTGATTTTTTTTTTATACACATACAGATATCATTTCAAATCAACAAATAATACATCGGATACAATGAGAAGTTTATTTTTTATATTAGGTTGTGGTGCAAGAAGTGTTAATGTACGTTTATCTGAATCCACATGTTGACTAATACAAACAAAAAGAAAAAAAAAACCTAAATTCAATATCTTAAAATTTTTTCTTCTATCATAAAACTTACACAACAACAAAGCCAAGTAAATTTTTTGCTAATAATTGTTCAGGATCATTTGAACTACTAACTGATAAAACATGATGTACTAATGCAGCACCTTGAGAAAAATAAATCAAAAAATTGATGAATCTAAAATTTTTCTTCCTCTTTTTTTTTTACTTGGAGCTATTGGTAAGATTTTATTATATGGATTTTTTAAAATCATACCAGCTGGTAAACATGAATCAGGTATTTGTGGTGCACCAATTTTATACATTTTTATTTCATTAAATTCAATTGTAAATACATGTGGACAAATATTATTTTTTGGTCCATAAAAATATTCACGAATTTTATTTTCACGAAATTTATCTTTAGCTGCATCTTTTGGTACAACCTAAATTTAAAAATCTTTAGAAAATTGTTTCGTTTTTTTTTAAAGATAAAATTTACTCCGCCTGATTTTGGTAATGTTATAACTTTAACGGAAGGTAAATCTGATATTAATTTTGTTGCTAACCATTCACTATCAAGAACAATTATTATATCGACTATTAAAACATAAAAAAATAAATTAGGAAGTTTGCTTTTTTATTTGATAAAATATATTTACCATCAAATGCTTTGGCAACATGTTTAAATGATTCATAACCTTCTTGACGAATATAACCACAAGTGTTGACAACAATACCACTGATAAGAGCTAGAAAAAAAACGATTATACTTTATTGTCCACTCGAATTTTGAGCTTCATAAATAATAGATGTGATAAATCTACTTCAAATAACATTCATTTGATATAGAAGATAACTGGAGCCTTGTGGATCAAGTTTTCTCGACTCCAAAAATTATTTTTGACTGGGGGGTCAACAGTGATTCCAAAAATCAATCATTATAAATTTAATTTTTCGTGATAGTAGCTCGGATAAAGAATCAAAATGGTGACTTAAATAGAGAAAATTGTCTACAATAAGGATTAGAGAAAAATAAAATCTTCACAATATACTCAAAATCCAGGATCTCTAGAAAACTCCAAGCCTCGTATTTTGATCTATAGGCCTTGGGAATAAACGTTTTTTTGAATACACAGGTGACAGAGCAAGTCTCTACAAGATGACACTAACCCACCCTAAAATTAATGTAAATCAGTCAAAAAAAAATATGGTGGAGAACTCGGAGACCTGTTATTTTGTAGAGAATCAGTTGTTCTATTTTTCGAGATCTCAGTGTTGAAAAGCTACGTTTGGAAACTTTACACTGATCCCGAGTGTCTGGAATATTGTAGAGATTTTATTTCGTTTCAAATCGTTATTGGAAATAATTGTCTATCTTCAAGTTACTATTTAGATTCTTTATGCAAATTAGCATTACGAAAAAAAATCAAAATTAATCCTTTGTACTATTTGTTAATGAGAACTTCTCTCAGATAGATTTTTTTCTTGAAACTTATTTATGAATCTATAATGTAAGATATTTTGTTCATTATTCAACATATGAAGTATAAATTTATTACTATGTAAGAGTAAAAATACTTAACTGTTTTAATGATATGACTCCAATCTATGGCTCTAAAGAAAACTCTTTATTTATTTATATCTTCAATATTAAAGCATAACTCCTATACAGTAAAACTTTTTTCTGTGAGTATCTCCTTATACTAAACATTCTATAGTCCGTCTCAAGCAAATTTGCTTAGAAGTGAGACTCTCTAATATGAGTATTTTCTTATTCGAAGCCGTAAGAATTTATTCATGGTCCAATAAGCAATAACAATCCCTGTAATAAGTGCAAAATACGGCTGTCACTCCTGTAGAGAACGAGAAAAAAAATATGTTTTTATGTATTTTGTGTAATGAAAAACAATCATCGGACACAAACAAAGAGGATAAAGTAGCTGTGAATATTTAAAAGAGAAAAAAACAATATTAGACAACAACAATAATGCTTACTGTAACACCGTATCGTTTTTATTTTGGTTAACTGATAGTAACATTAAATCATGTCAATACAGGTCGAATTTTGATTTATTGTCAGAAAAAAAGGTTATTTTAGGTAGTCGAAAAGCGATTGCAACTGAATACTAATTGGTTGCAAAAGAAAACAGAAACTGAAAATCTCGCAATCACAAGTAAACACTTCTTGTCGATCTCGATGGTTTTCACATTAGAAAAGGTTTCCTATATTTGAAAACACATACGAAAAGAAGCAATTATTTTGTACAACAACATGGAAATAAATGTTATTTTTAATGTATCAAGTATTGACAAAAAACAAATAAATAATCAATAGATGGATCGATAATATATACTAGGTAGTGAATAAATATGTATTTTATTTAAATAAGACCGTCATTGTCGCGTGACTACGTTATTCGATATGAAAAGATGAAAATTGGACGATGCGAAAAATTAGTCAAGAAATTTATAGTAAAAGAATAAAAGATTTTTTTTTACTCTTTGCGGATGGATGACTCCGCATAGAGTCATAATGCTTTCCTAGTATTTTGAAACATATAGATTCATATGTAATATCAGTTTTCGTGAAAGCATGTGTCAGGAATTTTTTTCAGTGCAATTCGAGTATTTATAAAAAGTTTTTATAAAATAAAAATGTAGATTGATTTATGTTCAAATTTATGGAAAAAGAGAAATTCTTCTTTTTTTCAAAAAACCTCACCACCAAAAGGTTAATAAAACCTTCAACTCAGACGAATAAACTAAACCAATACAAAAAAACAAAAAAAGACGTAAGTCACTATTAACAAATTATAAATCACTACAAACAAGCATATGTTTCTATGATACATACAGCATATGAGCTAAAATTTCTTGATGTGGATGCAGGTGTCAGCGTGTGAAGGATGCAAGAAGATCTACACTCACATGCAGACCCTTTTTGTTCAGAATTACAGCTAATATTAGTTGTAGAGAAAACAAGATAGTCGAAAGGCAGGGATATTCTTTCTTCTTTTTTATTCAAATAGAAAACTATATAATTATTTTAACTCTTTGACAAAACTGGATACAGTCTTAAACGAATAAAACTTCGTTACTGTTCTATACTCAACAGCTCAATTTCAATCTCTAATGTAATGTCGCAAAAAAATATTCTTACAAGAGAATCTTTCAATTGACTAATTGCTTTAGAGTCTGAAGTATGTGCGTCGTGTAGATCCTAATGAACTATGAATACCGTCAAAACAGTTCAGATGCTGTCGAGATATTGCATATATACCGAAATTTTTAAGTCAATACTGTGGTTCAAGATCTGCATTAGAATCGTCGAAGCTCTCTAAATTACCTATCAGTAAATTACGTAGAATAGTACACTTTTATTCTTTGACATTCCATTGTACAAAATGGTATATTTTGAAGGCTAGATTCACGTTACATCAGGGCTTTACAAAGGCAAGGAAAAGTCGGAGTTAAGGTTGACTCTGACTTGTTCCCATTAGTGGAAGTCTCGAAGAAACACCAATCGAATTCCGACAACATATCAGTTTATACTAAAAAATAAAATTTAAAATTCAAAAAATCTTTTATATTAAATCTGATTTATTAGTAAAACATTTAGCTGACTTCGATGCAGTCCACTAGCCGTGGTCTTTCTCAGAAACGCTAGAAAATTTCGATTTGAAACTTTGCACATATACAAGTCTTGACGAGAATAGTTTAATTTGAATGTTTCAGATCTTTTAATTTCCTCCTAACCTGAGAAAAAAGAACATCAAATCTACCAATATATATATATAAGCAATGTAAACGATAAGGTTTTGCCATAGCTGTGTGTTAGGATAGGAAACTTTCATAATCAACTGTTGCCGGTTAGGCTTGTTTCTATGGAAAACTTCAAATTGAAACTTGAAAATGAATTTTTCTAGTATTCCTGTGGAGAACTACGGCATTGTGCTAAAAAATATCGTAAAAATTAGAGAATGGATGGGGTCAGGGTTTTCATAATTTAAACCGAACCGATCCCATCTCTGGTAAAAACACAGCAATAAACTGAAGGCCTGAACTCTTTTCAGGATATTCATAGATCATTAGGATCTGTATGATGCACACAATCTCGACTCAAAAGGAATTAATCAGTTGCGGAATTTCTCTCATCAGACAAAGACTGTCAGTACTAATAACGAATTGCTTATCTCTTCTTGTTATAGTTCAATTCTTATTGAACCTTTACCAATAGAAAGAAAAAAAAAATTTATCTCACATTTTTCGACGTTTTCCGATCGAATATTAACATACATAGCCATTGATGATACTATTTCATTATATAAACCAATATTTTCACCGGGTGTTTTATAACCATAATGAAAAACAAGTGGCATTTCAATTCGAAAACCTTCTTCGACAGACGCTGGTCGACGAATAACCATAGACGCTGACGAAAAATAAAGATTACATTAAAAAAACAAATTTTAATTATTTTCAAAAATTTTATCTTACCAATTGTTCCTGGAATAGATACTTGATTTTGTCCAACATCAAGATCAACTAATATTGGCGTTCGACCAAGTCGGGCTGCCCAATTAACAAGCATTCGACATAATGTACTTTTACCTACATCGGGTAGACCAGCTACCATTATCTATTACAAAAAATATTTATTTGTTTATTTTTTTTTCAATAGATTTAATTGAATTTCTTTACACGAGGTCCACGAGTTTTTTCTGATTCAGCTTTTTGTCTTAATTGTTCTAACATACCATGTACATTTAAATAAATATGCATTGGATTTTCATCACGTGCAACATAATAATCATCATGTGATGAAATAATCTAAATCTATTCAATTATTTCAACAATAATTTCGAATAATTTCAACATACATTTACAGTACAACCCCAATAAGTAAATATAGAAAATTTCATGCCAGATGTAAATTGATATTTCTGACCAATAGCTAATTCAGTACCGAATATTTCAGCTTTACCTGAACGTAACTATAAATAAAATCAAATGAAAGTTTCTACATAAAAAAAAACACATTCACTCACTTCAAGCGTCAATGTTTCATCTACATCACCACGTAACTCTTGTCCGGCTTCAATAACAATTTCTTTCTATAGATCAATATAAATTCGTCTAATATAATGTAAAAATTTTTTTTTTAAAGATTTACCGTTGTCATTGTTCTTCTTCTGAAAAAAAGAGCAAATAATAGAAAATCTTTAATGATTTTTTTTTTAATCGATAAATTACTTCAATAAGATAAACAACAAATCAAACGAAAGTATGACAGTTTTTTCTTCTTTTTAAAAAAAAATGAACAATTATATGAAGAATAAAACGATAAATGAATAAAAAAAAAAAATACAAAAAAAAAGCACAAGTATAATTGCACAATCAGTAGAATATCAAATGCACACTATCAAACCAAGACAAAAAAAATAGATGTATTGTGTATTGATCATTCATTAAGTTTTTATTTTCTATAAAAGAAAAAAAAAACGAAAATATATCGGATGAGTCATAAAGAATTGCACTGTTAGTATTTTTGAAATTTTCTACAAGCATATATTTGAAAAATGGTGATAAATCACCAAAAATTCATCATGCTTTTAGTAGGATGGTTTCAAAAGCGAATAATTAATTTATGCGCAAAAAAACATCGACTCTACCAATCTCTCACATTCTCCTAGTCATTCACGGATAGCTTGTACAAAAGATAGTATCTCGAAAATAGGATGTATGTGGACAAGAACCGACAGTGTCGGTGATTTTTAAAGATAGAATAATGAAAATATGGAAAAAAGTTTCAAGTACAATCTTTTAATTAAAAAAATATGTTTTAATTAAGGATATCATAGAAAAGAAATTTTGAAAAATACTAACAGTGCAATTTTTTATAGGCTATCTGATATATGTGTATGTTTACTTTGTCATTTAAATTCCATATAACTATTTGACCAAATAAATCTGCAGAACTTATTTTTACTAGATTACCATTCTCGTTTTGATAAGGCACAATTTGCCTAGAAAATAAATACATAATAATAAACAAAAAAGGAAAAGAACAAAAATTCAAATAAGTTTTACGTTATCATGCTTTGATGAGTTGAAATAGGTTCAGGTGTTTGTGTTTGCATTGCTGGTTGATCAAAGCGACGACTTTAGAAAACAAAAAAGAAAAAGAAAAAAAAAACGATTAGCACAATCCTTGCAAGATTAAAATATGAAACATGTTGTAACTGCTGTTATTAATTATATAGAGATTGTTTTATTCTATTATTTCTTTACCAATCTTTTACTTAATCATCTAGATATGCAATAAGGAAGAAGTTCATATATTATAACGAAATGTTATTTACATATAGTCTATCATCGTATATCAACAATGTCTGTGATATGTCGTTTTTTATATGTCTGTCACGTCTGCGGGGAAAAATGAGCAGATATAAATTTTTATCTCTATGCTTCAATACTCTTTTTAGATCGTCCTTCACAAAAGATATTAATAAATCATCAGTAATTGACAATTTTATATTAAATGGAAAGAAGAGAACTCAACAGCAAAAAAAAATGTAACAAGAGAGATTGCATGAATAGTGTGGCATTGTTTAGATGTCATAAAAGAAATAATTGTCGTTGACTTTTGAATTAGGATAATTTATGGAAATTTATTGATAAAATTCAATGTCATATTTTTCGGATATAGTTCATACTTTATTTCGATATGATGATTAATGATTCTCTTAACTTTGGTTGAAAGTAAAAATATCAGAAAAATTCAAATTCACATTGATCACAGATCTTTGTATAATGTACGCCTGTGTACCGTATTATATTCTATCCATCAAAAAATGTCGAAAAAATTCTCTATGAAAATTTACAAGAGTTTCTACGTTTCGACTGTAGTTAAGTTTCACATGATTAAATTGTAATATAAAATCTAAAGTTTATGATTCGAACACAATGATGTAGATATATATATATGAATTGTACAAGTAGATGTTTATAATACACATCAAAATTTAATATGAAGATACTGATGAGAGAAGTGCCTGAAGTGTTCCGTTGACTTAGAGCTCATATTTTTCTCACAAGTAGACGTCAATATTAATAGTCAAAGCTTACAAGGACTCGAACCCATGGGCTATTGAAGCCGACTTAGAACTATTTCACTGAATTTTTGGTTTCAGGCAAGATATTTATGGAAAAATCGAACACTGATATTTTGCTCATAAAGAGGTCTCACGGTTATTAGAATATCCTAAAACTTTCAGCTAAAACGGATACTTTATCTTGGAGATACTGAATTTTCAAAGCTGTTCAATTTTCTGACTTTTCTATGACACATGATCGTTTTTTAGCCGTCCAATATCTTAAGGATAAAGCATCCATTTTAGCTGAAATTTTCAAGACATTTTAATAATCATGACACCTTTTTATGGGCAAAATACCATCATTCGATTTTTCCATCAATGTCTTATCTGAAATCAAAAATTCAGTGAAATAATCATAAGTTGGCTTCAACAGCCCATGGACTCGAATCCTTTCAGACTTTGGTTATTGACATTGAGGTCTACTTGTGAACAAAATATGAGTTCTAAGTCGACGGAACACTTCAAGTACTTCCCTTGTAAGTGTTAAATACACTCATGTGATCTTGTTTAGAATATTCTTGAAAAATATCTGTTATTAGGCCATTCCATATTTCATCGGTTGCATTCTCTATCGATGAAATTAAAAAATCAAAAAAACAATTCATGGCTTTTATAAATTTTATATCAAAAATACGAAAAATAAATGGCATTTCTGATGATGCAATAGACAAAAAACATTGATGTTTTTCAAATTCATCGATGAAAAGCGACATTTTAATTAAGCAAATGTAGTCGATTTTATTTTTAATCAAAATCATACAATGAAATTAATGAAAATGTCTATTTCAACCAATGAATTTTAAATACATCAAGTTTTTTTGTTCGTTTCATCATTTTAATGCCATCTTTTTTAGTTCTTTTAATTCCCTAGGTAACTAATTATATAATATTGAATTATGTCAATAACTGATCTATAGTCCTTCTTCTAATATTATTGGACCAGTATGAAATCTTATCAAATAAAAAACTTGAAAACAAAATAAAAAAGAGTCCAGAAGACGCAAAGTGAACTGGGAAATGAGGTCGATAAAGCATAGAATGATTCTATTAAGAAATATTACACGATGTATTAATACTTTGCATCTTTGTATTAAATTTTTATTTGTATCATCAACGTTAACTTTTATACTATTCATATATAGTCACGGACAAAAGTTTAGAGCAATTGTATTTCTGAGTTTTCTTCGCGATAGTAATAACTAGGAAAAATCTGAAAGAATTTTCTATCTGGGTTGATAGATCTAAAAATTCCGATAAAACTACTTGAATGAGGATGTTTGGAAGACTAAGACCTTCCAAGTCAATTTCTGGTATCCATTTGAAGCTTTTTGGAAGTGGTTCTATTTGATAGAGCAAAATAAGATGTCTCGGCTCTCTCTGTGACGTTCTTCCATCGAACTACATTCAACTTACAGAAGATCCAAGAAGCATCTTTCTTTTGTTTCAGTGATTTCGTCGTGGTTGATACTTTGAAGTCTTCTATAAATTGAACGAAGTTCGATAAAGGTAGGTCATGAAGAGAGTCGAGACATCTCATTTTGCTCTATCAAATAAAACTATTTCCAAGAAGCTTCAAAAATGCTCCAGAAAACTAGTTGTGAGAAGTCTTGATTTTTCAGACATTCTCAGCCAAGCAATTTTATCAGAGTTTTTATGTCCATTTATCCTGATAGAGAATTCTTTCAGATACTCAAATGGTTTTTTCAGATTCTTTTTTATCGAGAAAAAAACTCAAAAATACAATTTCCAAGAATTGTGTACCTACTATATTCTCAAATAAAATAAATTTTTCAACTAAAAATTCACTTCAAAACATGCTTAAAACACTGCAAACACACTCTTTTTTTCTCATACGATGCTTGATATGGTGTAACAAAATCTACTTCTTGACTACATAAATCACGAGAAGAAAAAGAAATATACATATAAATAAAAATACGAAAAATAAGAATGAAATTCTAACCCAATTGATGAACGACCAGTTGATACTTCTTGTCGATCAAGTTTTTCAACAAATTCAATTGTACCTTTATCTTGATCATAATTATAAATTAATGGAGAAAATTCATGTCCCTTTATAAATAATAATAAAACTATTCAGTAAAACAAAAACAAAAAGTTTTATTTTTTTATAAACATACTCCAACAATTAACATTGATTCATTTATAAAAATAACACAACGAAATGGTAAATAGTTTGTTATTTCCATTTTAATTCTAAAATAAGAAGTTTTATATTTAAATTTTCTTTTTCTTTCAATAATATTCAAACTAACTGAGATGGATTCTTAGCTGAAACAGCAAATATGATTGAATTATGTGATACCCATGCAAGATTATCACCTAATGGTGAAAAAGCTACATCATGAATCCAACCTGATTCTAAAACAAAAATCAATTATATTTATTTAAAAACAGAAAAACAAAAATTTTTTTATTTTTAATAAACCTGATTGAAATTCATATAAAAGTTCGTTTGTATTTTTAATTGTTCCCCAATTTGATGTTTGTGCTTGATCATCAACAATTTTAATAAAAGCTGAATAAATTCTATAAGCAAAAACAAATAAAATAAAATACTTTTTTTGCAAATGAAATAAATATTTCGAAAAAAAAAATAATAATAATAATACCGGCATCGATAATCACAACTACCAACAGCAATTAATTGATTATTTGGATGCCAAGCAATACAAGTTACTGTTGATTTTGGTTTTTTTTTAATCATTTCAGCTGCCCAAAATCGTTGATCTTTTTCATAATAACATATAGCCACATTTTTATCACTTGAACCAATAACAAATTTATTTTCTATTCGACAAAAAAAAAAAAAAGAATAATTTAATTTTTTTTTGTTTTGCTTGTTTTATTATTATTATTATTAAAAACCTTGTGGTGACCATTTAGCACAACAAACAGCTCGACTTGTTCGTTGTAATTCTACCATTTGTGGTTTCCAAACATCATTTTCTAATGTCCAAACATATGCATTATAATCCTAAGAGAAAAATCAAAATAAATAAACAAAAAAAAGCAGATTGTTTTTTGTTTTGATTTTATATTTACAGCACTAGCTGAAACAATTTGATTTGTTTTTGGTGCCCAATCAATAGCTAATACACGTGATAAATGTTCACATAATGTATGTATTAATTTCCATTTACCAGCTATTTTATGATATATACGTACATCATTTTTTCCCAATGATACAGCAATTTCTATTTAATTAAAAGAAATAATCAAAACAAAAATTTTAAACATCTCTATTTATTATCAATAATTTAATGATAAATTTTCATATTCTTAGTTGATGAAATCTTAGAATAGATGAAAAAACAAATAACATACGTGTACGATCTTTATTCCATGCATGTGCAATAACAGGCAAATTGCCAAATGAATATATTTCAGTCATCTAAAAATTTGATTTATTTGTAAAAAATACAAAAAAAAACCAAATCTTGAAGTACTTTGTATTTTAACCAACTGAAAATGTGCATGTCCGGATGCATTATTATAAGATGCAATTACTTGTCAGAGTTAACAAATGGAAAGAGAGAAGTCTTTTCTTTACACAGATGGCTCTGCTAAACAATGATTTTCTTGTTCAATAGAATAAAACTAAATTAGATTGATTGTATTTCCACAATGTTCAGAGAATTTTGTTTGTATGATCATACAATATTGAATCATTAAGAATTGTAAGAGATTTGTTCAAACAAATGATTCATTAGAGAGAATACAATTTTTTTCTTAACGTGCTAAACTAAGCATTTGACCTATTTTACCTTGGATATTAATATTTATTTTTAATTTTATATATTATATAACATATATAATTATATACATATATATTGATAGTTAATGAAAGCTTATTAATATGAATAAAAATAGCAATACGATGATTTCAATCGCAAAAAATAAACATGTTCGTCAATATATCTAAAATCGCATAGTTTTTTGTTATAAAACTTACGCTATGTATTTTATTGATATAGTTTGATTAAAATTCATTCTAGACAAGACTTTATAATTAATTGAATCATTCACTTTACCAAATCATTTATAATTCATTTTAGTTATAGATGCTAAAATGCATTTTTTTTCATTGGTTCCAATCATCTGAGAAGCTAGTAGTATTCGAAAATAGGATTAAGATAGCATTGACAAGTTTGTCTTTAATATAATCAGATGACTGGCTAATCAATCATCAATGATTTTTTTTCTTCTTCTTATAATAAATTGAAGAAAAAAAAATAGAAGAAATCTTTCTTTCTTTTTTTTTTATCGTTTGTAGTCCGATCAAAATTGTAGTTGATATATTTACAATTGGATTTCTGTTTTTTTTTTTGTTTCCGGTTCGTTATGATGCAATCAAGAACTATTTGTAAATTGTCTTTTTTTTGCTCTATATGTGTCCGCTCTTATTTACATTTGATTGACACATATGTCCAGTATACGGAGGCGGAACGACTTAATCGAATTGTTTTTCCTTGCAATGGAATTTCTCTTCTTTTTTTTTTTATTAATGCAATCTCCATAGAGAAACAACTCACTAGACGATGAAAAGCTAACTAGAAGAAATCAAAATCTAATCTACTTGAGAAAATACATTTGACTAGCCAATGTCCTTTTTTCATTAGAACAAATCCGGTACAACAGGAAATAATAACGCATCATTTGATCAAACGCGTTCGATAAATTCCTATTATCTCATCGGTCAGTTGTTCTATTGCGCTTATATACAAGTGCAAAAATGAATAAGACTACATCAAGAGAGAGAGGAAAAAAAGAAATACTGTTCTTCGATTTCATCGCAGATAAAGAATAATATACCCAGTAGAATTGTTTTTTTTTGTTATATGACTTTTATTCTCATATTGCTCAAACATAAAAAAAAATTTTTTCTGTACAATAATTGGTCAGAAGAAGAAGACGAAGAAGAACATTTATCACTTTTCATTATTCATGTACGTACAAGGTTTTCTTAATTTTATTTAATTCTAATATAACAAAAAAAGAATATCCTTGACAAGCGAACTGAATCTTAATGAACAAACTTTTCTGTTATTTTTTCTCTCTCTTTTTTTCTTCTCCTTTTTTGCTAAACATGGCAAAGATTGATGGTATGTTATATGCAATCCGTTTTTTTTCCAATGCGTGTTATATCTCCGCTTCGATTTTCTTCTGCTTTTAAATTTAATTTGATAGGAATCATAAACATACACATTTAAATCTGCAAAACACTTAAGCCGTTCGAAATTATTTTGATCGGTGTAAAAAACAAAAACCTCTTAAGATTACTAGAAAAAAAAAGAGAATATATGCACACATGCATGTTACGAGATTATCACATGAATAACCTTTCCCACATTCTATTGTTCACAATATAATCATCAAGTTGCCTGTTTCTTATTGTTTATGACACTATTTATGCGATAGAGTTTATCAAGGATATTTGTTCTGATGTTTCTTGTTCAGATTATATCTCATGCTCAAATACAATTATACATATACACATGATTGATGACGTAAGTTCGAAAAAATTCTTATACATAAATATATTCAAATAATTCTTATGAATACATTTTTTTTTCCTTAGGCAATATCAAATATTTTTCTTTATTCTATTAACTTCTAATCATATTGTACGATTACAATCTGACTATCGTAATCACAATAACTGTCCACATTTGTTTAAAACATTGAATAATTGCACTTGTGTTCATCCGAATACAATTGATTGTAGTTATTCAACAACAATTTCTCATTTACCACGATCGTGGTATTCATTAAATCATAATTTAACAGAATTTACACAATCAATTAATCGTTTTGATCTTGTTCATACACCATCAATTACATTAATAAGAACTGATGATTTTCAAGTATATAATCTGTTGTTTCTATTTTTGTTTTTTTGTTTGTTTTTTTGGTGAAAATTTCATTTTAGGGTCTTCAAAATCTTCGTTATCTTTCTATAGTTAATACTGGACTTATTAAAATTCAACCACATGCATTTCGTCATTTACCATATTTATATGAACTTCGTATTGAAGGAAATCGAAATTTAACTGAATTAAATTCATTCTCATTTAGTGATATTGAATATATACATCGTATATCACTTATATCAAATTCAATACGTGTTATAAATACAGAAGCGTTTCGTTATACACATTTTGTTAATATATTAGATCTTAGTAATAATCCATTAGAAGTAAGTCTACATAGATTATTTATTAATCATAGATTTTCTTTACTAAAAACAATGTCATCCATAAAGAATAAATATAAGTATAATTTAAAATTATTCTGAAAATGAAAGATGTAAGATAATATTCAATCGCTTAACGTATTGATAAATAATCTAAAAACATCCGCTATTGTCAAGTCATTTTTTTTTCTCTAATGATGATACGCCACTACAAAATAAACTTCTTCACTTGTATACATACGTTATTCAATGATTATTGAAATATATTTCTATACTTCAGTCTTTGCTTAGTAATTAAGATTAATATATCCACCATGCATCATTATATATTCCATGACTGTCAAGAGTTCTATTTTTTATTAACAGAGATCTACTTGAATTAATACAAGTTGTTCTTTGTTTATTAAATCGATAAAGAAAACAAACTTTGCGATAATCTGATCAAAGATGGAATCGGCCTGTCGATAAATCTGTATTCACGGATCAGAACGACATTTAACGTCCAGACCAGTCGAATCATACTTTGATACTCTTAATGAAATTTTCTAATCGGAATCGGATAATCGTCCCAAAGATACTTATTTCTCGTTTTTTGTATTTGGTAACTAGTGCATCCTACACATTTCTCAGATGACCAAAGCGTATCGAGTCAACAATTTTCGGATCCGACAAGCTCTACTAAGGTGATCCAAGAAAAGCTTAACAATAACTCATTTTTGATTTTTTCTATCATGTTAATCCATTAGCTCAAATCTAGATAGTGATTTTAATCGCCAATAGAGTTTTCTTTTACCAAGATTTCATAGATGAGGTATGATTGCAAGACTTTTAAAAAAATGACATAGAGAAGTTTTCATGTCTCAGAAGACTTGGTCGAAGCTAATTTTTAATAATGTCATTTGAAAGAACACAAAATTCTGAATAAAATGAGAAGCCACCGTATTTGCTATGATCCTCCCTTAAAAATTATAAGTGCCACAAAACTCAAAGAAAAAAAATGAAATTTATCAAAAAATCGTCTCAAAAACTCAGTTTTTTTCGAATTTTATGATATTTTTAATTTTTCAAAGCAAAACCGCAGAAAATACGGCGGTTCCTCTTTTGTGCTCTTTTAAATTGCATTATCAAAAACATAGCTCCGATAAAGTCTTCTGGAATCTAAAAACTACCGTGCTCGGCTTTTTAGCATCCTTACCATCATAGTTCATCTATAAAGTTTTAATAAAAGAATACTACATTAGCTAATAAACTCATTATCTGAATTTGAACTAATTGCTTAACATTATAGACAAAAGGAATCCAAAACACGTTGCTGTTGTTGAAATTTTTTTCGATTACCTTATGTTCTCTAATCTACATTATCAATTTTGAAAAAATTTTGCAAAAAAAATCAAATAAATTTTTCTTTATTAAAATAGGTCATTCATTCATATGCTTTTTTTGGTCTTAAATCAGTTGGTACTTTAATATTATGTTCATTACCTATATGTCCAATAAAACAAATTGATGCATTTGCTTTTTTTGGATTTCATACATGTGATACAATATTATTAACCGGTATTCATACATCCTTACGTTCGTTATCATTTTCACATATGACATCAATTCGCCTTGTTAATTTATCTAATGGTGAAATATCACGTATACATTCACATGCATTTCAAGGATGTGAACATATTGGTGAAATTGATTTATCATCATCATTAATATCAAATATTGATAGAAATGCATTTGATGAAATAAATAATATATCATTATTAAATTTAAATGGAAATTTAATACGTTTATTTGAAAAATCAATATTTCAACGATTAATTAATTCAATAAAACAAATTAATCTTGATAATAATCCAATTCAATGTGATTGTACACTTGAATGGTATTTAGAACAACGTTCATCTAGATTTAAATTACCTGATGTATGTACAGGTCCAATTGGATATGAATGTTTAAGTCCTAATGAACTTCAACAATCTCAATTACCATGTTATCAAATAAATATAGATAATAATCAAACAAAAACAAAAAATTTATGTGAAAAACGTGTAAAAAGTATTATTGTCACAAAATCATCAGGATATTTGTATAGATTAAATACTTTTTTGTTTATTTTAATCATAATTATGTTTTATGTGTGAGAACATATAAAAAAGAAACAGAATTTTTCATTGATAAAGAAATATAGATTCATATTTAAAATATTGCAAATCGATAATGAAATTAATGAAAAACAAATCAAATGATGAATTTTCACTAAGTTGTAAAAATTAAAAAATGATCATGTCAAACATTTGTGAATATCTAAAATGAACTTAATTATGTATTAAAAGCTGGAGAAAAAGATAGTAAAGATTTTGTACTTGATATTGCCATCGAATCAAATTATTACATGAACTTGAATCATATAGTGATGTACTCAGAAATGTAATAACGAATTCACTAGCGAATAGATTGGAAACGGAAATATTTGTAATGTGAATAGAATCTTATTTATTGTCATAGGACGGATTCGCTGGATATTATCGTCGTTGTATGAATATGATTAAATTAAATATTTGATGCTCGATTCAATCATAAATTCTATATTTATTAGATTTAAACTGGAAACAAGATGTATGATCGATCTGATTATGAGATATGTCGAATGATGATTATATATTACAAAAGGCGGAGAACTAATATCCGCGTTAGAATTAAAGAGGATGTAGGTGTAATCTTAATAATTTGACAACGGTAACAGCTAGTGATCTACGGTTTTTACCAATCGAAAGAGGAGAACTTCGGACGTATTTTTGTCTGATACCATATAAGACGAAATGACTCAAAAATCTATCCTCTTCGAAAAACATTCAAAAAAAATTGCATGAAAACGGTGTTTCGTTTCAAGGATATTTTGATAAAAAGTCATGAAATTTGTTCAAAAATCAAAAGAATTCTATACAATTTGACCGAATAAATACGCAACTTTGTTTGCTCAACGTTGAGATATGGGAAAATAATCACCTAAATCGGGCCTTGAACTATAGGTCAGTATGCATTCGATGATCTCTATTTAGGTAATGCTCATTTTGACGATGAAGTACACAACAGAACTATAGTTATGAAGCTCCTCTATTTGAAGTACATGCCAAAATCAAAATTACATCAGAATGGAATACTGTTTTCATGCATTTTTTAGCTGAAAACCGTAGATCGATAACTGTTACCGCTGTTGAGTTCTTAAGATTGCATCCATTTCTCTTCAATACTGTCGCGAATATTAGTTGTTATTTTCATTGTAGACAAAGAAGACGAAATAATGAACATGGGCGGCACAAAGTAAATTTTTTAGAGGAAGCAATAAAGTTTTAAATGGTTGCATTTTATCTCTTCTCTCTCAATAGTGGACAGTGTGGTAGCAAAATCTTTGTCGTTTCAATTTAATTTTTCTCAAAGGCATAATATATGGAAACTTGAGTATTGTATCACCTGACAGTGTATTACGAACTACAGTTTAGTGTAATATTTTTTATTGAAAAGAAAAATTTACTAAAAACAAATTAGTACAAGATCAAACTTTTTGCCGTTATGTTTCATTTATTGACTATTATATTTTCGTCTTTATATCCATGTAACAAGTTGTCTAAAATTCCAGCAACTATTCTTTTCTTGGAAAAAAATGACAGATGTAACAATCAGCTAGAAGGACAGAGGTATTGTTCTTCAGATTGTTTAACTATTTATTTTTAATCAACAGCAAAGGAGATCAGCTGTTGAGTTTCACTCATTTAATATTGCCTAATCGACCTTCAATCCTTTTGATCAAACTCATTAAATATCATATAGTCAATCTTAGAGAAATGGAAGCCAATTTATGATCATGCTGTTGATCCTAATCCAGCAGTAAATTTTCAAGATCACTTATAGGTTCTATGTTGCTTAAATAATTACATATCAAATATATATATATATATATATGAAGGGAAGTATATTCATCAGGATAACAATAAACAAAATCATGAGAGTATGGTTCAATTCTCCTACATGAACTGCAGATCGTATTGAATTAATGTATATTGGATTCAGTAGTTTTATTCTGGTATAAACAGGAAGAATGGAATATTCTGCGAAGTAATCGCCACTCTTCATAATGCTGCTGCGTCGCCCTTAGTAATGAATAATAGATTTTAGGCACTACTACGGCTGGCCGCAAAAATCTCGAAAAAAACATATGAACGAAGAAAATGGTTGAAAATGCTTTAGAAAATTCTAACCTACAAGGCACATAATTTATTTTATGATATAATATTAACATTCGAACAGAGATCAAACATAAATCAAGAGATAAAAAAGAAAAAATTTATAGTGTCATTTTTTTCGTTTAGCAACTGTAAATGACAAATCAACTAAGTATTCTATAACCATTATAACATTGTCATCGTACCATTTACCAAGATTTGTCCATACGACGTTGAGTTGCAATGAGAATAGCTAGCGATTGTCGGTCACTTAAATCCAATGAAGATGAAACAGCTGTAGCCATGACAATAGAATTTTAGTTGTATAAAAATTCTTTGTTCAACTCTTTTAGTTAATCTATATCAAGTGTTATTCATCACCACTACTGATTACAAATCCAGGCCAGTAAAGTTATAAGAACAACAACAATGAGCTAAAGATGTTTAGAATCATCATCTACAGGAGATATCAATTTTTTCGATAGTTTTCCCTTTCGATCTTTTTCCAGCACACTGCTAAAACTGTAGTCTACGATTTTTGGGAAAGTACAGTGATCATAGTCACAAAGCGCATTTTGAAGTAGTATCAGCTTGTTTTAGGGCGTTTTCTGCTGCGAAAAATATTTCGGAAGATTTTCAAAAAGATATTTTTCTGTTTATTTGAATTTCATTTAATAATGACAGTTCTACTCTATACCAACCATTGGACGTAAACCATCAGGGATTCTAGTAGGAAGTGCTCAATCAACCATCTCCGACTCGAAAATCATCAAACACTTGTCTCCAATCATATATGTCAAAATGAACAAAATCGGAGATGATTGATTGACCACTTTCTACTAGAATTGCTGGTGATTTATGTGTAATGACTCATAAACGGAAAGTAATTTATTGTATTTATTGATATTTCAGGTAGATTTAGATATCGAATCAACTTAAGAATATCAAACTCTTTTCAAATCTTGTCAAATTCTAAAGTTAACTGTCTTTATTTTAAATTAGACTCTACAAATCTTCAGTTTGCAGTGTTTGGAAAGTTTAGATATATCGACTATGGATTTTAGATATGATTATTGAATAATCTACATCTTATCAAATATAACAAATGTTTAACAAAAAATTATTGTAAATGAATAGAGTGTTTTCAACTGTTTTCTCTCATCAAGTTTCTATTTTAATTCAACTAATAAACATTTTCATATTTTATAGGGTAATTTATATAATTCGAAGTGTTTTTTCATTAACAAGTTATCACGTCACTTCTTATTATCACGAATTGGTTGTGCCACTTCTTCATCGTATGATACATCTAGAAAAGTTAACTTTGTATCTTCGTATTCGTACTGAAGGTCCACTCATCGATGGCACACACCTTCATAACGAAATTCTTATTTATATGCCTCAACTTCATACGTTCACCTTTTATATAAGTACAGAAATTTGCACTAGTAACTTACCTCGTTCTATATCGACTGATAATATTCAACAAACTTTTACAAATATAAAATGTAGACAAACGACTTGTATCATAGAAAAGCTCGATACGTTTACAATTAAATGTCATGTTTATTCGTATCCGTTTTCATTTACTCATTTGAACATCTCAAGTCAATTTCCAAATATGATATTTAACAGTGTAACTCACTTGTATATCCACGATTCGATTAGATTAAAGCATGAATTTTTTATGTAAATCAGTAAAGTTTTTCCAATGCTTATGTTTTTCTCTCTAGAAAATCGTATTTCACAATTATGTGACGATTATACAATGAAATCTAATGAGAATTTATCTAATTCAATTATTGAATATCCTCATCTTATATTACTGGACCTTATGTATTCAAATAAAGATTACATTGTACAATTTCTACTCGAAACAAAAACATATTTACCCCGTCTAACTCATCTAATAGCCAACTATGATGCATTGGAAGACGCAACACTATACTTCACTAGAGATGCAATGCAACGTAATTGTTCGAAAGTGAAACGATTAATTGACAAAAACATGACAAGTTTTTCTAAAGATGTTTATCAATATTTTCCTTCATTGTAAATTCCATTGTATATTGATTATTTCAATTAAAATAAACAAGAGAAAAATCCTTATATTATTACAAGTAAGAAATAACAATTCGTTATAATTGACTATCGAGTTGTAACAGATATTTTTCTTAACGAATTCTTCATATAACTATACTGGCTTTTATTTCTAAGTGAAACTATATACTTAATGACCATTTGTTGACAGTTAGAGTTTCATCCTTTGAGTCCTGACTTTCTTTTTGCGAAAATCCAGATTTTTATAAATCTTTAAATATAATGTTTATTTGTTTTTTGAAAGACATTGTATTTCTGTGTCAAGGAAACATTAGCAGTTTATTTTCGTATGATAGTCTTCAAAATAATCAACAATACATAGAGGTACATTGCTGTCAAGACACATATCTTGTATCCGGTCGAAATCTATGAGATGGGCCAACAATAAATTTTCTTTGAGGCTATTTTGATTGCGATGTTGGTGGAGCGAGCGAAGGAAAATGTTGAGCAGTTAGATGAAGAGAAGATTCTCTGTCGACGGTCTTCCAATAGTACTCGATCTGTGTAAATTTTACTTTGTAACTTATACTACCTATATCTGAAACAACGCAAAAGAATGTATGATGATTATAGCGACTATAGATTCCTAGGATGATTTCATGACCCTACTCCGTGACCTAACAGATAAAACACTTTTCCAGATCATAAAAGAATAAGCTAGTAACATGTTTGTTCAATAATAATATCCATACGTATTTATTATCGCCGGTATTCTGAGTCAAAGAGTAGGACATATATATACGTCGTCGGGACTCAAAGGGTTAAAGTCGATTCCAGGGCTGAGAAAAATGGAATTTACTGTCGTCGGATCACCTTTTTTTCATGCTTCTTTTAAGGCATGTCTACTAAAATACTCATAAAAAATCAACAATAGGGAATTTAAAAATTCTGGTTGATGAAAAGCTACATACTGGCATTGGCTTTAATTTGAAACCACTCCGAGCTCTATATCTCGTGTCGCGACGAAGTTATACCGATTCTGCTGAAGGCCAAAAATGACCTATGAATCAGCTGGAGATTCGGTCTAGTAGGATCTATAGGACTGAAATTTTTATCAGAAACTTTTCTCACCAGGAAAAGTTATCCCTGAAAATTTCAGCCCAAAAGGACTATCATAAGTGGGAAATCATTTCTGAGGAGGGGGACCTTAAATAATAAAAAAAAAAGAATTTCAGAAGAAAAAAAATTTCAGTTTCTAGACATCAAATTTTGTCATTTGTAATAAATTACTATAGATTGTATGTATTGTATCTTTAGAATATTTTGATCAAAGTGTTGAAATAAAACTAAGAGGAAAAACAATTATTGTACATTTTATACTAAATATTTATTTCAAAAGAGAAAAAAAAACAATAAATTATAATAAATATAATTTTTTTTCTACGTATCAAATTGACAAACATCAGTTGGTTTAAATACATCTAATTGATTTGAAGGTGGAAAATAAATCATAATATCATGTACTTTATTCATTGATATTTTCGAGAACAAATATTATAACGATAGAATTCAACGAATTTGATGATTATTATCTAAACATAATAGAATCTATTTAATTAATTAATTTTTCGAGATAATATAGAAATTTACTTTAAAAGAGAAGAAAATTGATAAAATTTTATGAAAATATCCATTTGTAACAATCTAAAATAGTTCATTCCTATCGGTTAAACAATCTTGATTAGCTAATTTTACTTCAAATTTTGTTTTCTCTGCCTTCATTTGCTGTAACATCGAATCTAAAAACTGTTTTAATAGACAAATAGAAAAACAAACTTTAAAATTTTTGTTTTACCTTTCGATAAAAACCTTTGTTGATGAGTTATGTAACAAAACAAAACCTGTCAAACTATAAATGTCATATATAATATTTTTGTAAACAACTCAAAAAGAAAATTTTCAATAAGTAGCCTAAATCAAATACTGGTTTTTTCTTGTTTTGTTACGGAAATGAATTCTTCCTTTTAAATCATAAAATAGTACATTAAACGTTATTTAAATCTAATATTGTTAATGAATAAAATTCATTTAAATTATTTTTTAATATATTTAATGGAAAAAATTTTCAATATTTTCTAATCGAATTAATGTTATATAATAATTAGCAAGATTAAGATAATAATATGTTGTTGACAAAAATATTGTTTCTGATTAACAAAAAAAATTCTTTTCTAAATTTATATTTTTTAAATTAAATTGATTTAGTTTAATCAAACATTATTTTTTTTTTATTGGATAATGTGTTAAAAATACTAATGAGTTTATATGAATATTACCAGTTAAAACTGATTCATTTAAACAATTTCCTGATAAATTTTCACCATTAAATGATAAATTATTTCGACATAAATAAATATGTTTTATAGTTTTAACATTCTTATTCATTAATATAAGTTCATCATATGAATATATCAGATATTTCATTTTCTTAAATGAATTTTAATATTATATGTGAAAGTAAATAAATCGTTTTACTTATACATACACTTTTTATCAGCTATTTCATTTTTTTAGAAGAATTTTCATATTTAATGTGAAGTGTGTGGCATATAGATAGAAAGATAGTATAATTCATTCAAATTATTAGTCGAAAGATTCTTTTTAGTTTATATCAATTATAAATTTTCAACGTAGATCTTTGTTTTAAATCGAAGTATGATAAACGATGGTAATAACAAATGAAGATTCAGATATGTTGATAGAATATTTGTTTTATTAATATCTTATTAAGTTGTTTTAAATTCATTTATAACGTTTCTTTTTAATGCTGCAAAATTTTTAATAATTTAATTAGTTGAATAGACAATGATAAATAATTAATAAAACTTTTTCTTATATTCAATTCTATACTTGACTCATTTTATTTCTTTGTTAATTATTATTAAAGATTTATCAATCAATTGTTGTACGTGTTCAATGATTCTTATCTAATAACAACCATCATTTCCACAATTACCTTCATTATTTCCATTCTCTTTTTTTTTGATTATTCTCGTACAATATTTTTCAGAACATCCTTATATCTATAAATTTTTTTTACTATTGAAACAAAAAAAAAAAAGAATAAGCATAAAATATAAATATTAACATACAACTGAAAAATTGCCTTTAAGTCGTTTTCCTATAACTAATTGACTTAAATAAATTAAGGCAAATTTCGACATCTATTCACAAATCAAATAATGACAGTTCATTGCATCAATATATATGAATATATAGAGAGAGAGAATATAAATTATCATTATATGTTAATATATATTAAATAGTGATTGACTTACAAATGATAGAAAAAATTTATCGTAGACTAATGCTTTAGTTTATTTTTTATTCTATGTTCATTTACTAAATAATTGTTAAGTTAAAATTGATTAAGAATTTATGACATTCACAGATGGCTTACGAGTTTCAATATGTTATAGAATAGCCTTCAAGTCTATTTGAAAGAGTACGGCTATTTTTTATTTGTAGTAAATTTTATTATGATCATTTTTTTTTATGATATTAGTCGATTTGAAGTGGAATAGAGATATTTCTTTTTTTTTGCTTTAGTAACAATATTTATGTTCATTAATTTCAAGTAAATATCTATGTAATAGACTAATGTCCTTGCTTATTTATTTCTCTTGATAAATTATGAATCAATAAACATTATATTTTTATATCCTTCCGGAGTTCTTTTGAGATTTATTAAAAATTATTTTTACTTGCTATGTAATATCTAATCATGGATAATAGTTGTTCAAGTCATAACTTTTTTTTTCTTCTTTTGATTCTTTCAATACTTGATGACGTAATTCAAAGCAACAAAAAAAAAATTGTTGACCATCTGGAGACGTTTTTACAATGAACAATCGATGAAGATGATCGTTAGAACAAAATCTACATTAAATAATGATAAATGATTGTCAAGTTTTTAAAATGTAGTAGTGAACTAAGAATAATTGTTCATTAGAGAAATAATTTAACCTAAAAAGATGATATTTCTTTAAATAGAAAAAAAAATAAGAATTTATTGGATAGATTATATAGATAAAATTAAATATCAAACTCATTTACGGATAAAAGTTTATCGGAATAGTATATGATTAAAAAAAATTGAAATAATCTCTCGAGAAAAGAAAAGAAGAAAAGAAGCCAGAATAAGACGGTCCAAGGTCAGCTATAGTAAATGTTCAATTTGATTAATTTTATATTCAGGTCGTCGATTGCTTGATCGATCTCAAGTGGCATTTGCTTATTTCGAATGCTGTTTCATTATAATTAAACTACCTTCTTTTTTTTATATATATATATTGCATGACCGGAACAATAAATCGACTCAACTCACACATATACATAAGAATGACCTTGCACTCGTCGAAGGAAAGCATATATATACATGCATAAACTCAAAAGAAAATTTATGAAGACAATATAAGACAAGTAAGAAAAACTGAATAAATGAGTTGTTATTATCATAAGAATAACTTTTCATATTATTATCTGTTTAAAAAGAAAACATCATTGATACAATTCTCTAGGCGATTTATTATTTTTGTTACTTGAACTTTCCGTTCATTGCATTTGATAATATTCAATTCTGTTCTTATTTTAGGTTTTTTTTCTTCTTCTTCTTGTTCTTCTTTATATGATTGTTATCTTACACTCAACTCATCGTTATGATCAGCGACTAGAACTCCATGTCGAATGGAATATGATGTAATATCTTTTCTTTTTCTTTTTTTTTTCCTTTTTCTTTAATGATGGTCATGTTCTTCGAACAGATTGTTGTTGTTATTCTCTCAACATTCCCATAGAATTCAAGCTTGATAGGTCTATAATATAAATGAATGAATGTATGGATAGATGGAAGAAAGAATGTTTTGCCTCATCAATACACCATCATATCGATCAAAAGAAGCAGAAGCAAAAAAAACAGAAGACAAACTAGAAGCAATACCATAAAGAATTGTAACGAGGAAGTAATGGCAACTCAGATAAAATCAATCTAAAAAAAAGGTAAATGATTTTACACCACTTAATTTATGACATATAAATAGTAAATTTTTAAAAAGGTAGTTTCTACTTAGACGACATGAAGCTAATTTTCTATTGGCTATTGATTTATTAATAAGATAAATAATAGGAAATAATATTTGGATAGAATTATAGATTTAGCTATTGACAAAAAAAAAAAAAATTATTAGTTATATTCATAAGAAAAAATTATTCGGTACTAAAAATATATTGTAATTTGATATTGATTTTTAAGATAATAAACAATTACAAAAATAAATCAGGCAGACAAGATTACAATCTCTTTTTTTTGTGTCTTGGTTGATGTTGATTATCATGATAGTCATTATCCATTTTCTATATTCTTTCTTTTTCTAAGCATAGTTTGTCTATATATTCTCATCTGTATCCTTCTTATCAAGATTCGGATAAGTCTGTTCTTGTTATACTTTGACTTTTGTTTGACAGATGGTTCCACTGTGTGAAAAGATTAATCATCAACTTTGAACTCTTTACATGATATATGGAAACTTAGCTGACTTTTTTTTTCATCATCCCTTAGGCACAGTTAAAATACATCTGCTATATGGTCAAATGAAAATTGTCTCGACCATATATATATGTATATAACACTCATAAACAGTTCGAGGTTAATAATGATCTAACTCGTTGTCATGGAGTCTGTCAACATAACGTATGATTGTCGTCGATTATCACGGATGACACTATACGCAAGGACAAGCAGGTTATCCTTGAAGATTTCTTCTGTTATCTCTTAAGATACGGTATTTTAACAGATACATTTCATTAAAAAAGATATTGCACTCAGGTTCATTTTTTTCTCTTTTGTTCTCCTTTTTTTTTTATGAGAAAATGAAATCAACTGATGGTTGCATTCTTGAGCTTTTTCTTCTTCTTTTTCTTCTTCTTATATGTTCATAGATGAAGATTGGGTGGTGCACATAGATATATACGTAGACAGAGAAAGGAACCAGCTGTATGTATATAAGATAGAAAAGTGAAAATCAAGAAATGATGAAGCTGATTTACGTCAGCAACATTCTATTCGTTGATGTTCAAATTGAATAGAATTGTATTATCGATCAACTTTAACATTTCAATTAGCATATGGTGAACTAAGACGACAGTTCAAGCATTCATATTGTTCAATAGTCGCATAGATCAATCGGTCTAACCACCTTGTTCAAGGTAAATAGCACCGCTCTGCATGTATTCAATACATTTGTATGTAAGTAACTTGATATAGAGACGCCTTATTAGCTAGTGTTCAGTACAAACAACGCCGTTCAGACTATTGCCTGCTGGGTATGTTCTCGGACGTAGTGTAGTGGTACTATACCATCAATTTATTTAGATTCAAACATTGAGATCAATTGAAAATAAAAGAAGTGCTTCCGACATATTCGGGTGTTCCTTTTTTTGTTTTTGTGCGAGAGATGAAGAATAAAAGAAAAAAAAAATGTCAATAACAATCATCATTAGTATTCAGTTAATAGAAAGCAGAAAGAAAAAAAAGAAAACAGAATATAGTTGAGATTCATTGAAGTCATTTTCACATCTTAACAGCAATATTGGCATCGAATTTCTACAGATTGGGAGTTTGGAATAAACGAAGATGGGTCAAGGTCGGGTGAATGATGAACATTAATGAAGAGAGTGTACTGAGCGTTCTGCTCGTTTCTTCCTTCCTTCCGTTATTTGCTTTCATTTCTTTTCTTTTCTTTTTTCTTTCTTTTTTTTTCTATCTTATCAACCTCGTTTCTTTCTTTTCGTTCTTTTGCATTTGTTGCTTTTCAATCACTTATTGTCTCTTATTATTATTTTTTTTTTTGCTTTGTTTTTTTCAAGATATATATAGTATGTGTATACATCTTGACCACATCAACGTCATCATCATTATTCATTGTATGTATAAATATATATATTTATGTGAACAACAAGTAAGAGAAGCAAGAAAGAAAAAGAAAGCAAGCTTGAAAGCTTTACACTATCATCACAATGACAAAAACATTTATGTATGAATAAAAGGAGAAGTTGCGCAAGCTCGTTTAACTGTTCAATTGACAAGGACACATTATACTCCCTACATAATGGACTTTGTATATTATTATCAATTACATTGAATGACAGTAAATTTGTTCGAGTGAATATGACTACATTGACCAACAAAGAACAGACTTGATTACACCACCATCAAAATCTCGACAGTCTTGGTCAAACAAAGGAATTAGGAGTATACACAGAGAAAAAGATAGCAACGGTGTAACCTCCCTCACTCCCCTCCTCCTCTATATATATATAGATTTTTTTTTTATGCAACCAACGCGTGTGTGTTTGTGTACATGAATAAGATTACGTCTTTGGTAATTTCAATGGTGAGAACAAGAGACAAGACAATGAAATAGGAG